GGGATGAACGTGACGCCCTCCATAACATTCCTAAATGCACGTGTGGTGCCATGAAGGAAGTGATGCAGTTTCAGCAAAACCAGAAAACCATGAAATTTCTCATGGGGCTTAATGAAACATACACTAGTATTAGAGGACAAATTTTGCTCATGGATCCCCTTCCCAATGTCAACAAAGTACATTCTCTTGCGCTCCAAGAAGAAAAACAGCGCGGCATGAACAATGTAAATGTGCTGCAGCCAAAAGCTTCAGCTTTTGCCGTGAAGAATAATGCAAGAAAACCAGAGAAGATTTTCACGCCTAAAAATCCTCATTTAAAGTGTGGAAAATGTGACAAAATTGGGCATACCTCAGACACATGTCGGGCACATCTCAAATGCGATTACTGTAGATGGCAGGGACACACCATCAATGATTGTAGCAAAGCTTGTAACTGTTTGCCTACTTCTTGCGTTAGCTTCAACCAAGCAATGGCATCTTCACCAACTAGATGTCAACAATGCCTTCTTGCATGGGGACCTCGACGAAGACGTATATATGTCGCTACCTTCTGGCCTCGGACGAAAGGGGGAGACTCGAGTTTGTAAACTCCACAAATCATTATATGGTCTCAAACAAGCTTCACGACAATGGTTCATTAAGCTTTCCACCGCTCTAAAGCAAGTCAATTTTATGCAATCAAAGACAAACTATTCTTTGTTCGTCCGATTCCAGAATGGTAAATTCATCGCCTTTCTTATATATGTAGATGATGTCATCATTGCAGGGAACGAATTACAAGAAATCGAACATGTCAAAATATTATTGAAGACCCAATTCAAATTAAAGGACCTTGTGCAATTGAAATATTTTCTTGGTATTGAGGTTACGCGATCCCAGAAGGGTATTGCGCTTTCACAACGAAAGTATGCTCTTGAAATACTCGAGGATGTTGGGTACCTCGGTGCAAAACCAGTCACTTTCCCTATGGAACAAAACTTATCCCTTAGCAAATCAGATGGAGAATATGTCAGTGATCCATCATCATACCGAAG